CACTTGTCAATGTGCTTGGAGCATGCCGAGATAAGCTAACTTGTATTCAGTAATTTGAAAGATGCTGCTGAGGTTCCTCAACCCTTTAGGACAGTATCAGCTACAGTATTTAGCGATGTTGTTACAGCGAACAGGAGATGATGTCAAGATTCGTCAGGATAACGCTTCGCGCTGACAACACCTTGCTTTAGCATTTATATCGTCAAGTTACACTTGGAATGATTGCAGTGAATTTGATGAGTTGAATAAGCAACCTATTGTAAATTAATGAACTTGACTAACTAGACATCGATATGTGTAGAAAGAAGCTCTGCACAGAACACGTGGTAAATTTGATCAATACATTAGTAGGTTACAACTTTACATTGCCCGTTACATCAGGCAAACAGGGATTCAGTAAAGTACTTCATGAACGACTTCTATTTGGGAATATTAGATGCAGTGAGATGATTCACAATCAGCGTCATAGTTTTCATCTATCCACCAAGACAGCTACAATGTGGAGGGGGGCGTGAAGCGACTGAATAATTCAATATAAGATACTTAGAGTAGTATCCACTGTAAGTTGCTGGTGTGATGTAAGTTTTGCGATCAAATGAAGTGATCCAGTGTGATCATGTACTGATATGCTACCCTAATGATAACTTTCAAATAAAAATCTGGTCAGCAAGTCAGACCTCATAGCTCAGTTGGTAGAGCATCGGGCTGAAAACCCCGTGGTCGCTGGATCGAATCCGGTTACGGTTCAGATTTTTATTCCACTTTCAAGCATCACCCAGTATCAACTTCCAAACAATCAACATGATAGGAAACTAGAAGGAGTGGTCGACATATTGTTAGACCGTTGAAGAGATGCCGACAAAAGGTGACAGCCGCCAGCTGACGATCTAATACCCTTACATAACAAAGAAGGAAAAACAACAGAATGTGTGTGTGTGTGTGTGATTACTGTAATGACTGCAATAAAAATGACAGTGAAAAGAATAATATGCTGACACAGATGATCATTTGGTATTTTGTATCACAGTCTCTAACGTAGCACAAAAATTTGCTTAAAAACTGCACTCTAAGTCGTCGTTAGCACATTGGTGTGCACGTGCGCACGTATGTGTGTGCGTAGTGTACATGTGCATAAATAACACCACAGAGGTCTAAAGAACATCGATCAGAGACGCATATACACACATACACATCTATCTATGTATCAGAGCAAAACAACACTGTAACAACAAACAAACCAACAACACACACGCCTAGTGTCTGTGTCTCCACACCCCAGAGTGATATTGCTGTAAACAGACTATAAAGGCTAGGCAAGTAGGTGAATAGTTAGCTAGCTAGCTAGCTAAGTAACCAACGCGTCAGCTGCTAATATTTCTATACAATCACGCAAATATAATGATTGACTGAGTGAATGATTCATCATCATCATCATCATGTAGACGGCCGTAGATGTAATGCTAGTATTATCACCAAAAATTAATAATATCACTACTATTATTATTACAATCTACCTTTATGAATATACATATAGCTAACTGTGTCTACCTAATGTATCGATCAGTAATATGAAGTGCGGTTGGTAATAACATTAGATACACATACATTGACATCACTACTGACTTATATAGGTGCTTTTTCAAGTCTTGAAATATGCACACAAACATGCATAAATATATACACCACCATTTGGTAAATCTGGGTAAAAATAAAACAACCGAAATCTGGTAATTTTTGCATGATATAAATACATACAGAGACACGATATATATATATATAGGCTAATGGGGGTATTATTCATCATAGAATGACATCAGTTGAAGAATCATTGAAAACTTGAGAGTACTACTATGGGACACTTCAGACGTGAGGACTCCGCAAGGGATCCAATTCAGGACCTTTAGGTTACACACAACGAGCACGTTAACCATTCAGTCAATGGTTCACAATCTCTTCTATTAATTTGTGACATAACATGACTATCATCAAAGGTCTTCAGTTGGCATCCGTTTCACATCCGATTTGTTGGACCTCACAAGTCAAAGTTTCTCATTAGAACTTCGAGACATCCATCTCGACGCATATCAACTTGAATGAGAGTTCACGCCACGCTATATCGCAAATTGACAGAAAAAGGAAACTGTGGGCCAATGAGTTGCAACCCAGTAGGTTAATGGTTGACGCGTTCACCAAAAAAGTGAAATTCCTGGGTTCAAACTTTGGTAGGGTCGTGAGTGGGTCCGCTGAGGAGTTCAATATGAGGACGAAACGGCCGTCCAGTGCTTCTAAGTTTCCAATGTTTTCAAAGTAAGTAAGTAAGTAAGTAAGTAAGTAAGTAAGTAAGTAAGTAAGTAAGTAAGTAAGTAAGTAAGTAAGTAAGTAAGTAAGTAAGTAAGTAAGTAAGTAAGTAAGTAAGTAAGTAAGTAAGTAAGTAAGTAAGTAAGTAAGTAAGTAAGTAAGTAAGTAAGTAAGTAAGTAAGTAAGTAAGTAAGTAAGTAAGTAAGTAAGTAAGTAAGTAAGTAAGTAAGTAAGTAAGTAAGTAAGTAAGTAAGTAAGTAAGTAAGTAAGTAAGTAAGTAAGTAAGTAAGTAAGTAAGTAAGTAAGTAAGTAAGTAAGTAAGTAAGTAAGTAAGTAAGTAAGTAAGTAAGTAAGTAAGTAAGTAAGTAAGTAAGTAAGTAAGTAAGTAAGTAAGTTAAGTAAGTAAGTGAAGTTAAGTAAGGTTATCAAATGCCTCCGGGATAAGGTTAGGCTTAGGGCATTAACATGAAGTTGTACATGGCACGGTTAGGTGTATGTGCTACTGGCCTGTAAAACTGGAGATGGTTTGTGCACCAGTGATTATAAGTCTAGTTTATTTATGCGACGACGGCGAGCTTCAATGCGGTCCCACTGGATATCATCCTATACACCATCAGATTTGACTTAGAGGTAAACGAAGTCGAAGAGATTCACATGAGCAAACCAATGCCGCAAGTCTCCAAAGCACGGACAGCCTAGCTCACCATCAGGATTCCGCTGAGTGCGCTGGGAGCAGTGCAGTCTAAAGGTAAGGGAGTACAGCCTCGTGATTCCGGTAGTCATTGTTATTGAAGCAGACCCTAGAGACGGGGAGTGGTTTACCTAGAGAAAGTGGGCAATATTCGTCTCGGAATGCCGAGTGTCGTCCGCCATGGCCTTGGCTATTTACCAGTAGTTCAAAAGGAGCCACCCTGTGGATCTACCGGCATCATTGTTTCATGGGAAAGGCCTCCTGATGGGTTGTCTTCCCGGGAAGGTGAGCTGGATTTGATTTACAGGACTGTGGCAACTGAATGATACGCATCCTATCACGTCTGCTTACGAGGAAAGAATGGTCAAAAAACAAATCACCCAGAGAATATGGACCCATTGAAGCTTGGGATTACATTGTGATCAGTTTTGATGAGGTGATAAAAGACTCCTCTGGAAGGAATGTTCATCTTCATGTGGTAAGCATTGCTATTATGTATTTTGCTTGGTGAGGCGATCGATCCCCCCTAGGTTTTAGATAATAACATTCACGTAGATGAGGTAAAACTCTCCACCAAATTACTGACTTCTGATCATCTATGTACCATACACTTCTTTACATGACCTACTACCATAAAGGGGGTAGTGTATATTTCTTAGTTAGAGATCCTTGATGAAATACAACACAGAAACGATAAACAACTAGGCAAACATTGTATCAACATACAGACACACAGATCTTGCTTAGTATTTATTCAATTGCTAATAATCTATACTGTGCGTTTGATAGGCAGGCAGTTCTTGGTAGAAGCTTAAATTACGCACAATTGAGACGTTTAAATAACTGAACAAACCAACGTAGAACCTCGCACACACCTCAACTTGTCATACTTCATAGCAGTAGAAAAAGAACAGGTGAACAGAAAAAGACTGATACTAACAAAGTAGACAAAGTTGTATGAGAGAAAAAACACAATCCAAAGCCTTAAATATGAAGGATTGAATATATATACGCCATTGTGATCAATTTTCAGCCGTATCAACAAGAGTACTCAACCAATGAGTCCTATCGTCTCAGTGACCCCAGTCAGTTAGACAGCCTATATGGCTCAGATCAACAGTCAGATTTCGTCGACTGGTGCAACATGTTGCACTCTGAACTCTCGTCTAACCTGATCCAACTTGCCCTAGCATGGTATGTCAATGTAGACAGTAGCTCAATATGCGTAGCATATGTCTAGTATATGGTTCACGACCTATCATGTTGCCTAGTACCCTTCGCCTGCCCTCAACATTGTTACCACAGTGATTCCATCGAATGCAAGCAATGATACAAAAAAATCTATGGTCATAACACTGTAACCACTTTCAACGGTCATGTCTCACAACTGTGTATAACAGGACAGAGCAAACTGTACTTCAGTATACTTATTCTTTGATAGACATTCGAATATCTCACCAGTCAGTGACACAAGTAGGTAAATGCTAAACGTGTCTTTTGTATACAAGTTAAGATTTGGTCGGCAAATAGATACCTTCAGGCTAAAATGAAATTGGATATTGAATAAAAGTTGACAAGAACTTCATTCTATCAAATGAGAATATACAAGTTTTTCAATAATAGCTGTTATCTTTTAAGGGAGTTGTGGGGATTTGGAAATATTTCAAGTTGGCGGTTGCGCTATATCGTGAGCTAACAGAAGTTGGAAATATGGACCATTGGATTCTGACCCAGTGGCTAGCTCAATGATAACGTGCTGGCCACGGAACCTGAAAGTCGCTGGTTCGAACCCCTGGTGGTGCGGGGTCGTGGGTGCGCACTGCTGAAGAGCCCCACACTAGGACGAAACAGCTGTCTAGTGCTCCAGGTTTCGTTTGTTCCTCCAACTGATGTCAGTCTACGATGAATAACAACTTTAAATAGTTATTATCATTCACAAAATCGAAATAACAAGTATACATTGAAATGAGGAATACATTCTAAATATATGCTTGAGATATGAAATGCTTACCTGTCCAAACGTTCCTTTCCCAATCAAGGCTAGAATTTTATAACGATCATACCAAAGATCACCGATACGCACAAGACCATGATGTGATGAGTAAACTGATGGTAGACAACTAGGATTTGATTGTATTTGACCAGAACATATTACACCTGTCGCTCCTGTTGTTGTTGTTGCCGTCGTCATAACCGCTGTTGTAGTTAAAGGTAGTGCTCCACGAAGTCCTGAAGCAGCAGTAGCAGTATTCAAGTTAGTCGAAGGATGAGATTTAGGAGGATTACTACAATGCAAGGATGAACCTGTAGAAGGATAGAAACAGAGAGTAGGGGTATAACAACAACGATTATGAAGAGTAACGCTGATGAGATGATGATAGAATTTGGAATGATAAATCATAATTTTGATCCTATTCCTTTGAATAAATGTTCCAAAAATAAGAACGTAGGTACTAGAAACAACATGTCAGCGATCCACTTACCTCTTACTCCCTCCTTCTGTTGATAAGGTTGTGAACCTTCAGGAAGTGAAGTAGCCTGAACATGCGCTATGCATTGCCTATCCTAACATATATTCTCTGCGACAATGTGACGTACGCTACTAAAAACATATAAGCAGTAGAACGCCATATAAGTCGGAAGGAAACGAATGACATAACTATTCAGGAGTTTGAAAATCATGGAAGTGGGAGGAGACGATCTAGTTGCGACATAAAGGAATACAGATAGACCTCGTAGAGACCACGTAGAAGTTATCCTAACAAGATCTGAAGAGTTCAAACTATGAATGACCAAGAATAGGTTGTGGAGAGCCTACAGCAGTCTCACCCTGTTCGGTTACGAAGTAAGCAACAGAGAAATAAATTGACAACCATTTCGAAAACTGAAACAGTTGTTAGGAAGAACAGCTTCCTATAATCAGTTTAACACGAGCTTTAATGAAACTACATGTCATCACCCAGGGAGTAGATCAATCCCCATAAAATTAGATATGTCCACGGTTATGTATATTATAGTAAGTTTATATTGAAGTTAAATAGAAACAGTGACAGTGGATATGACTAGTTGTCGTCAACTCTGATGACAACTCTCTCCGCAGCCTTTACACGGCTATGTAAGTTCTAGTAGACAGCTTTGAATAACTTTGTATATTTGTTCGGTACTCACTTAACAGTCAGACGACACTGCTATAACACCTCACCGTCGACACAGTAGAGTGCCCCACCTTCGAGTTAAAGAACATGCCAGCTGTCACCCACCGTTTGGGGGGGGGAGGGGGTAAATATCTGATCGAGGTACGTATCTGACAGGTACGAAATCTGCCTGGCTTTCTCGAACTCCAGTATAACCATGGATTTAAGGATTTTGGACACAATATTAGTCAAACTAACTCCCCTGTGGTTGCGACAAGAAAACTCCTTTTTCTTTTTACAGGTACTACCTCTGATTTCCATAAGCTACCTAATTATAATCTCTGTTACCGTACTCAGTAGTTTCCTACTTCCATCTTTAAGAATATCTGGAAGCAAATCACCAGATCCTACTGATTTGCATCGTTTCAGAGCTGAAACAGCCTTTTTAACTTCGAAAACAGTTAAAGAATCAACATTTACTTTCTATTCAGGATCGGGTTGGATGCTGAACAAGTGAAGTGTTACTGTGAGCTACTTGTACTGTGATAATTGTTCAGTATTCTCCAAGCTTTGAAATTTGTTCCTGGATGTCTCATCTATCGTGGTTAGATGACTTCATCAGGATTTGCTTCATAAAGAAGTCAAGCATTTTTAAGTTGCACGAATGTCTATATAGCATATTTGTCAACCTTGAGCGTTGCTGGTTTGTAGGTAGGAATGGTCTATCCACCTTTCTTATCAGAAGTTGACCTTGATAATTGTTTTTATCGCTTGGTCTAAGCTGTTGACCTAATGATTGATTGTTTTCCAGTTGGCTCATCCCCTTCTTAGTAGCCTGTACACTGAATCAATATTCACATGTCTGTTGTGTTCATCTACATGTAACGATATCGATGATGATGATAATGTCATTTGACTACAAGTTGATGCTCATAAATTCTTCAGCCTCTTCGATAACTGGATTGGCCGACACGATGATGCTATCAGTCCTTGATGCGTAATGAATAATACGTTCTACAGGAATTTTGGGATGAAGCTGACACCGAACGAATAAAGTAGTTGGTCAACAGTTTGTAAGGCATCTGAATGAAATAAATGAGGATGAAGTCGCCTAACCTGGTGATGAAATGTTTCAGAATAAACCTCAAAGCTCATTGAATACCAAACAAATGCTATTCTCATCCTGAGCTACAAATGTTCTCCATTATCTCAAAAACTTTCGAGTGCAATGCGCTTCTTTATATTGCTCGGAAATCGGAGAACTTTGCAGATCTGAGTGCTTCTATCACCTAAGAACAACCTTCCAACTTACAAGAATGTTTACGAGAATATATCCCACCACCAAATGTTAAATTATGAACCACCTAACCCAATCAACCCCCCCCCTCATCCATTGGATGGAAGATAGTGAAACAAAATGAAAGGAAAATAGTGCGATTAATGATATCACTATGCAACAACAAATACTGAAACCAATCCTAACATACATGTAACAATAAAGATCAAAGGGGGTGGGTAGGAAGAAGGCGACAAGAAACTGAGGAACAAAAACGGCTAAACCTGTCCAAATCAGAGGAAAAAGAAATAATACAGAAATGGGTAATGAACTTTTCAGAAAGAACCTTATCCTTGACAGAATATATAAATTTACTCTGAAACGAGTTAAAAACTACTACAGTGCAGAAAATGATAGTATATTGAATTTTTGTGCAGTCTTTACTCAAAACTACTGAAATAACAGTAGAAAAACAACAACAACTACTACTCATATCATTGATAAAAACCAAAGGAAAGAAGCACTACTTCAATACAAATGAAAAGAAAGTAGTCAAACCATTTGAATAAGTGTAAAACTTGAGTACTAAGGTAGAATATAGTTCTGTATTAGATACAGTATTATTTATTTGATGATGCGGAGACCCTAGGTGATATAGCTCAGAACCGAAGTCAGTGGCGCAGATGTATCCCCACACACATTATCCTCATCTTGACAACGCTATACCGAATCTCACCATTTTGTCACTCCTCTTTCCTCTCTTCTCATACTTTATATTTCCTTTGACTGCATTCACTTATCTTCATCCTTCGCCTCATTACCTTTTTACTTGATGTGCTGATATAAGGTGTGGCAACTCGGACCGTTACGCAGTAATGCCTGGTCCTACGTTGATAATGATGATGTTTCGAGTATAAATGTTAATTGCTCATAATCCTATCAATATAATTATGCTCCTTTAGATATCCAATTTCTGCAGTCCAATCCATCTTATACTGCTTTGCTTTTATTGGTAGTAAAAATTTTCCATATCTCTGAGATAGGTTGTACGTCATCATTTCTAGTACACGTGTTAGGTGGGTGTTGATTTGATGAACAAAGAATCAGTAATCAATCTCTGTCTTACCGCCGCCCCCCTCATCTAAGTACAGTAGCTTTCTCCCAACCCTATTGTATAGTTGTGTGTTAATGTATGCATTGCAATAGCTGAGTTACTTTCCAGATTATTGATCTTATTCGCGTATGTCATTCCATACTGAACTAAATTTCTGTTTCTCTAATCTAACTGACCCCGACCGACTAGATTGATCTATGTACTTGACTTAACTCATAGTCATTATATGGAGTTTGATAGATTAGATCATTTTGCTGAATTGTTTCTATCGGATCCTTCAACTCATCGACAAATCTTATCTTTGAGTAAGTTTGTAGGTTCAAATGCCAACCTAACTAATTCCAGCTTTGTTGAGGATCCTATGTAAAGTTTCTGATGTGCCTTCCTTATAGGGTAACGCAATGGAGGCTGTGAACTCCTTTCCTACTCATGTTGTCCTTATTACGCATACTTGTGTTACTGTTATCTTTTCGTTTCTTGTGTGTTCTTACACGAATTTCTTAATAAACTGTAGAGGATAATTGTTGACTATTAGTACTACTCTTATGTACTTCAATTACTTGTTTAAGTTCTTATAAGGACTAGTGACTAGTGAGATTTTCTAGCTCTATCATTTAGACATTTGACTAAACTCACCTTAACTGAAATTGGATGAGATGACTTAAAGTTAGATACCTATTGGAATGTATCGGTTTTCTGCAAACAACAGTATCTAAACCATCATCATCCTTCGATTTATTCTACAATCCAACATAGTTAATTCTCCTTGTTCATGGACAGAGGTCAATACTCAGACAATTCAGCAACTTAATTCCCACTTTCCCTCCTCATTATGGTCAGAAGCAGATGGAATGAGTCTTCTCGCATACATCAGTTCAGATATGATTGTAGATATCCCCATTGATATTTGTTAACCTTTAGGGATATAAGTTATCAATATTCTTCATCCGTGATTCTACATCAGACTGAATATCACTCCAGGATTCCTCAGGATGAGAATTTCTGTCAAGCTCAGATAAACTGCTTAGCTATCTCTCCTCCCTAAATAACCATTTGACGTTCTCATATTAAAGTCGAGCACACGTTGTGTAGATGCTGTGTCGATTTCAGACCAATACGCGAATACAGTAACGCAGGTGGTGATCAGAGATAGTGTAGGAGATCATGGTAGGCCGAAGATGATACTGACCTACTACAGAGTCCATTTTCAGAGTGAAAAGAGTGCAATCCACTTTGAATAGCTCGACATCAGGAGAGATTATTGTGTTGCCTGCGGGTTAATGATTTGACTGAAAGAAATGATCATGTAACGGATAAATGACTGGCTACGAAGGGATGAAATGATGGACAGATCTACCACTGATATTACTAACATGTCACACTTCGATAAAAGGGATAATAAAGAAGTCGTTGTTCCACCTGACACATGGCAGAAAATCACCAGTGTACAGTAAGATTTAACTGTAGCAACAGTATTGGAATATGATGAGATGGGAAGTAGGGCTGAAATAACCAATCTAGATTGTAGACAAGCGGAAGCTAACCAAAACCCGGACGAAAATAAAACAAGACCTGGAAACCGTTTGAATTGACGGAGCAAGAGTATAAAAGTCTGAGGGAACTTGAAATATGACAGAGTTCTAAGGGTGCTTGACATTTCCCTACTGCCCACACAGTGGAAGGATAGTTCTTCTTGAGGTTCCTGTGCAGGACCGCAGTAAGATAAACAGCTACCACCTTGACGTGGTGGTCGGACTTGCATATCACAACCACCCGAGTTATGCTAGTGGAACGCTTGTTCTCTCAAGGTCTTCTCATACCAGAAAGGTCTATTGGATAGGGGTAAAACGAAAATGAGTTACCGTTGTAGTGTAAATTACTACACTATGGTGGAGGTCTGAGGGCGAAGTCTTACTGCTTCTAGCTGGATGGAGTGTGACAGCGGTAAGGTGTTTCCTTTGGATGACTAGATGAATAAAACATGGCACCAATGTATGAAGTGTTTGACTGTTGGCTTGAGCCAAGTGGGGCGACACAGACTAGCTGGTTCGGGTCTGCGGGACAAGAGAAACCAGTGGTTGGAGAGTGACTCTGAGTGATATGGCTGAGAACCGATGTCACTGGTGCAGATGCATCTACACACATTATCTTCATCTTAACGACGCCATAACGAATCTCACCATTTTCACATTCTTCCTTTCTCTCTTTTACTACTTTATATTTCTTTCGACTGAATTTTCTTTTCTTCATCTTCCACTTCACTGCCTTTTTACTTGATGTAGTGATATGAAGTGTGGCGGCATGTTGGACCGTTACTCAGTAATCCCTGGTCCTACGTTGATTTGGATGGGTGGATGGAGTTGCCACATCCTGGCAGCATACATCCACTGTTCCGCTTTACACCAACAGTCAATGACTTTATGGATTGGTGTCAAGTTTCGGTCTGAACATCCTTAGTTTTTCTTTACAATCAATCTCACCCAGGAAGTCGAAGACTGTGATTCAGCACCCATAGCATACTTGCAAGTAACTTGAATTGATGAAGGTTCACAACCCTATAGACTGATTTGCCCTCCTTATTTAGTATTCCATGCAGAGATTTATGACGTTTTCCTAGTGTCACTAACTTGCGTTATCTGCGGCGCCAATTGCCGAGATACCCGACTACCTATCAAAGGACGAGTATGCTGCGCTGCAGTCAGCTCTGTACTGTTGTACGGCAGTGAGATATGACCGTGAAGAGTAGAAAACATGAAGCGGTTACAGGTTTTTGATTACAGATGTCTTCGTAGCATTTCACAGGTATGATGGAATCATCATATGAGGAATGTTGAGATGAGGTGAAGGGTACTTCGTAAGATAGGAGAGTCGATTGTTGAGATTGTGAACGTTAGTCGACTGAGATGGCTTGGACATATACTGAGAATGCCGATCCACCACCGAGATGTAAGGAATTAGTGGTTGAGCATTCTTGGTGAAATGGTTGAAAATTTGTTACAATGGTGAAGATTTCTTCTAAAGCTTGAATATTCGTACCAACCTTTATCTTTAGATTGTTTATTCTCTCACACAATTTTACCTATTTTGATAGGGTTAGGGTAATGTACGTCCCAACCACCATAATCAGTACATAGACAGAAAGAAAGACAAAAAATCAACAAAGAATATCGCACATAAGTGGATCACCTCAAGTTGCCACACTTCAAAGTAGCATGCGCAGAGAAAATGCATGTTAGTCAAAACACTAAAGACTTAGAAGGTATCAAAGGGTGAATAAATCTGCGCCATCATGACCAATTTTCAGCTATATCAACAAAAGTCGTCAACCACTGATTTGTATAGTCTCGAGGACCCCAACCAGGTAATTTACACTTCCCTACACGACTTAGACTAACTGGTATCACGTTTTGGTTTCGTCACTTTTAACTCTCTTCAAACCTAATCAAATCCCCCCCCTAGCGTGGGACGGCTAAGTGGGCGGTGACTCGGTATGCACAGCACATGTCCAAGCCATTTCAGTAGCTGAGGACTTACGTATGATGATTTCACAAAATGCGAGCAATGCTAAGAAGATATCTGTGATCAGAAAACTTGTAGCCGGTTTATACACGATGAATATCCTAGTTATGTTGTCTAACCTGTAAATTTATGTACAATAGAATAAAATTCATTGCCAATCTATAGTAATGATGGATAGTGGCTAACAGTTGAATCTAAGAAGTGCATCTCCTCCTACTTGGGACTTGTCAGATGGATGTACCTGCTTCCCAGTGAGTGATGTTGTTCCCATCGGATTCGGACTCGGGGGCGGTTGCTCCAAACGCTAGAGCGTTATCCACTACACCACCGAGCCACGATAGCCACTCCTTGTAGGACGGGTATCGTTTAAGTATAATTGCTTGTATTACACCGTCGTTGATTGGACCGAATTGATCGGTCTCTATTGGCACATGGGCTCCTGTGCGGATATCTCGATATTGCCTGTGTTTTAATCATGTATAGTAATGATGGTTAGTGGGGGTAGCAGTGGAATCCAGGATGCGCATTTCGTTCTACTTGGGAATCGTCAGCTGAATGTACCTGCCTCTCTATACCCGTCGCACAAAAAGTGGCTATCGTGGCTCAGTGGTGTAGTGGATAATCCTCTGGCATTTGAAGCGACCGCTCCAAAGTCCGAGTCCCGTTGGTAACAATCACCCACTGGGAGGCAGGTACATCCAACTGACGAGTCCCAAGCACCACGAAATGCGTATCCTGGATTCCACTGCTAGCCACTATCCATCACTATTTGAAAAGTAGGATTTGAACACAATTATTGGTTAAGTTATGCAGACAAGTTAACAGAATAGGTTGTTCTCTAAGCTAGGCTTTTATTTGGCAAACGTTACAATATCATGCCAGACACCATCATCCAACAATGTATGAGAGCTTCACAAAGGAATCGAGTAATTGATTGTGTATGAATATTTATAAATATGCTACTTTGCCTGAGTGCAATGAACTAATTACTTCACTTCCTTGTAAAGCTATGATACGCTGATGATGATGTCTAGGATGCCAGTGAAACGTTTGTCAACTGAAGCTTAGATAACAAATTACTCTGAACATTTATAACCCTAAAGCTACAAATACGTATCACGATTAACAAAGTACTGGAACAGTCGTCTAGATACCGTGATGATACTCATTAATGATGCATATATTAAAGGTATGCGCTTACTAAACTGTGAACTACGTCCCCTGGATATAAGTTGTCCCCACTATCCACTTGTAGATTCACAGCAATGTCCATGATTTAATTCGGTGGTTTGAAGTCAAACGCCTATACACATCAGTGTGTCACAGTTCTAAACTGATTAGAAAACACTGACAAAGGAATATTAATCGATACAGAGACTAAAAGGATTTTAGCGCCAAAGTGTTCCATTCCACTAGTACAGTGTAATGCAATGTCAACTGTTAACATTTAAATAGGCAACTAACCTTGATCATATATATGTTGTTGTTGCTGTTGAGAATGATGGTGATGATGATGATGAGGGATATGAGAAAGGAGATGTTGACCGGGATGAAGAACTGTAGGATGATGATGATGTTTCATTTGAAGCTGAGTAGATCCTTGATGACGTGATTGAATAATTCCATTGACTCCTGATGGTCGAATTTGTAAATCTGATGATGTTGGACAACAGGTCACAGGATTGTTGTTATTGTTATTATTACTACTAGTAGTACTAATATTATTGTTAGTAGTGTTATTCGTACAACCGCCAACACCACATCGATGTGGATGTAGCATAGAAACTTGAGATGATAATGTCGACTGTGATGGAACACAATGATGATGGTGATGATGATAGTGATGATAATGACATGTTAATGCAGCTGTATTGGTAACAGTTGCTGCACTGACAACTGGTAAGCTTCCTGTGGATCCATGTTGACATGAAGGAGCTGATCCACCATTTCCTATAGCAACAGAATTTCCATTTGACAAAATTGTTACAGAACCTTTACGATCTCGTTTCTGAATACTGTCCTCACTGATCTGTTCTCTGATACGTCGTTTTTTTCGATAATAGACCTGACAAAAATGGCGAAAAATCATCGAATTCTTATGACGGCTTTCAAAACCAATGATAATAATAATACATTACAAGTGTTTGGCAAGTCTTTTCCTACAGTTACTAACAAAACTCACCAACCATATGCGGTTTCGTCAGTCACATTTATTATCTGCACGCTAATGATACTACCTGCTTTCCAAATCCTAGGTAAGTGGAGAGATAATCGAACGCGTAGTCTGTTAGTTGAAAGTAGAGTACCTAGACCAGTGATTCATAGTTCCATATATTTAATATGTTGCATATCAATTGTAATTAGAGTGACAGAAATTAACAGTTTACTTCCAGGATCAAAACGAGAAATGTTTTAACAATGGAACAGGATTCCATTTTAGTCTGTTTTTTCAGAAATATCATACAATGAAGGAACAGGATCATTTACTGGATAAGGCTTTTCGAACATAACCTATTGTCCATATTCATGTCACGTAACCAACTCCACAACTTCGAGAGAGACTTTACATAGTCCTCATTTTCTATCCTTCCTCATAATGGCAAGGGTAGCAGAATTTTCTATATATCCCGGACAGGTGTAGAATCATTCCTGTTACTGCATGTAGTTGGTGTTGATTCGATAAACAAAGATTTAGTCGGTTGTCAATCTTCCCCTCCATCCATCCAATGAAGTTACTTCTTAACGATGTAGCTCTATCCCACCCTACTGTATGATTATGTTTAGTTGCGTGCAGAGCTATAGCCAGCCGAACTTCTCTCCAAGTTTCCTATCTTATTAGGATTTAGATGTCTTGCTTTAGCTAGGGTTTTGTGCTCTGTTATTCTAATCGACCCTGGCTAGTAGTCGACTACTTTGACTCACTTATGTATTTGACCTCACAATCATTACAAGGGATTTGGGATTTGATAAGCCGCATTATTCTGCTCACTTGCATCAATAGGAGGATCTTTTAACCTACAAAGCTTGTTTCTAACCTTTGAGTTTGTTGGTTTAAATGCCACTGTAATCCCAGCCAGCTTCATTGACAATTCTTCGTAATGCTGCTGAGGTGCCTTCCATGTATAGTAACACAGTGGAGGCTTTGAATTCTCTCTCAACTCTGTCACTTTTATTACCATTAGTAGTGGAATTATTACTAATAACACCTGTATTATTGCTACTATTCATATTTTTCTTTCGACTTCTTATGAATTTATTGCTACATCTAGGTAGGTGACTATTAAGACGCGTAAGGTATTGTTGATATGTCTAATCCCTAGCCGGAGATTTTCTGGTCTACTAGTTAAGCTTTCTTACCCCATCACTCAGGCATTTAACTGAGCCAAGTTTAAGTGAAAAGGGGTAGGAGGATTTGAAGTGTAAGTAGGAATTGGAATGGGAAGGTTTTGTGTAGACAATAATAGTCTTTAGACTTCCGTCTTGTGTTCGTTTAATCTTGTAATCCACCACTAGCTAGGTCACCTTCATCACTTTCAGAGTCACAGGTGAATTGGACTGCATTCACTACCAAATCTATATGTGCCAATAATGTGTTGATATGTTCCGATTTCAGTACCGTACACGTATCATCTAACTTCGCCTAGGGAACTAGTTCACTAGTTACTAGCCGGTCCTACACCCGGATAAACAGGGAAGGTTGGGCACACGGCTTGCAACCCCATCCCGTTAAACCAATCCAACCGCCAAAGACACTTCAAATCACAAGCAAAATATAAAGAATAAAAACAAACTTATTCCAAGCTGGAATCGGAGAGGCGAAATGACGCCACTTGGTGAAAGCCTTCAGGAAGCCAGTCAACCGATCCATCTTCTCTCGATGAAAGCGAAAGTAGGGATGGGGACATGGAATGTCCGCACCATGTATGAACCTACTAAGGCTGCCAAGACTGCAAAACAGATGAGGAGATATGGCATGAAAGTGCTTGGAATATGAGAAATCAGATCGAATGGAGGTGGACTCCCCAAACTGTCAACTACACAGTCAATAATCTACTCCGATATTGTCACCCAGACGGCAACAACAACAAGCACACTGAGTTTTGGAGTGGATATCATGATGTCCCCAAGAGCAGCGAAGGCTCTTATACAGTGGGAACCAATCTCCTCCTGCAGGATCATGACAGCAAGATTAAACTCAAAAGGAAGCAAAGTCACAATCATACAATGCTACGCTACGCACCTACAAATAATGCAGATCAAGAGAAGAAGGAGGAATTCTACAGACAACTGCAATCAGTAACAGACAAGACTCCACCCCAGATGGCGACATCAAAATTCTAATGGGTGGGCGGCATGAATGCCAAACTGGGAGTGGGCAACACAGGAAGAGAACTCATAATGGGTGGAGAAGCACTCGGTGAAATGAATGAGAATAGAGAATTGTTTGCAGACTTCTGCGCATCCAACGATCCGGTGATTGGAGGTGAGGCAGTGTGTACAAACACAAGGATATTCACAAAGCCATATGGATTTGATCCCATCAGACACCAGGACACACTACACTAAACATCAGATCGACTCCACTTCAATGTGAAGAAAGTGGAGACGAAGCCAGCCTACTGGACACAAGATCAAGAAGGGGAGTAGATGTGGGTTCACACCACTTCACTCACTATTTAGTGCAAGGAACCTACCTTCGAAATCAGGTTGAAAGCCTTCAAAGAAGTTGGTGATAGACCACAGTTCAAGTTCAACACCCAGAAGATAAACTGAAGGACGAAACTACAAATAACGTCTTCACGTCAGTCAGCCCTAAGGACAAAATGGGAGATATTGAGCAACATCCCTGAAGGAACCCGCGTGGAAGAACGCTGGAACTGTTTGAAAGCTATGTGGAAAGAAACCTGCACAACTGTATTAGGAAGGAAGGAGAAGAGGCAAGGCGAGGAATGGAACTCTAAGGACACAGGAAGCTGATAGAGCACGGAGAGGAAGATGGTGATGGTGAAGAAGATGAAGCAGTGCACAGATGAACAACGAACACAATCTACAAGACAGTACACTGGACAAAGAAGTGGAGAAGAGTGCACTGAAAGACAAAACATACTTCTACGACACACTTGTAAGTAAATCAGAACAGGCAGCAGGTAGGAGAGACCTGACGATATTATATCAAATAACCAGGTTACTATCTGGGAAGAGATCAACTCAGATGAAACCAATGAAAGATAGTGAAGGAAACCTAGTTACCACCAAAGAGGAGAAACAAAGGAAACGACGGGTCGACCAGTTCAAAAAACTCTTGAATCGACCACCACTACCACCTGCAACTCGTCCACAAATACCACCAGCAGCCCAACCACAGAATTACCAGTGAACGCAAGCCCCCCGACGAAAGCCGAAGTGTTGAACCATATGACGTTCCTGAAATCTAGGAAAGCAGCAAAAACCAGATAGAATTCCCCAGAGGCACTGAAAACAGACTCAGAGACAACAGCGGACATGCTCACACCACTAGTGCAGAAGGTTTGGAAGGAAGGAAGGAAAGGTACCTACCGACTGGAAGGAGGGCTACCTTGTCAAACTCCCAAATCCCAAAGAAGGGTAACCTAAGTCTTTACAAGACCTGATGAGGAATCATCCTCCTGTCCACCCAATGCAAGCATAATATTATACCGCACCATCCTGGAGAGACTAAACGATGCACTGGATTCAAAACTACCACCATAACAGCCTGACTGGCTTCACGAAGAACAAATCATGTGTACATCAAATTGTAACGCTATACAATGCATCATCATATAACAGAATACAGAATGGCAGTCAACTCTCTACCAGTACCTCAACTTCATCATCTTTGAAAAGGCTTTCGACATCGTCGACTGACAAGTAATTTGACAGGTAGTTGCTTCAACACTACGGAGTGAGTGCCACAAATCTTTATCAACCTCATTCAACAGCTATATGAAGTCGCACATGCCATGTGATCCACAATGGAAATCTCAGTGACGCCTTTGAAGCGTGGAGTGAAAATAGGAGTAAGACAAGGCTGCCACCTACTATCACCCATGATCTTCCTGATTGTGGTGGAGTGGATCATGCAGTAAACAATGAGGAGTGAGAAGAGGGGCATACGCTGGACCGATGAAAAGAACCTAGAACATTTCGATTTCGCCCATGATGATTAATGTCTAATGTCTTGTCGCACAAACTCGATGATCTACAGGCGAAAACTAACAGGTCGATAGAAGACACAGAGAAGACGGAACTTCCTTCAAGTGAACGTAGAGAAGACAGAGATGATGAAGATATCCAATCAACAACAACAGCAAGCATCAATCACCATCAACGGGAGGAACCTAAAGGAAGTAGTCTCTTTCACCTACCTAAGCAGCATCGTTTCAACTACACGTGGTACAGATGAAGATGTCAAAGCCACGATCAGAAAAGCAACACAGGCTTTCTGAAATCACTGTGGAAATCTAGTGTGCTGCACTGCATTCAGAATAAACTGCGAACAACATCTGGATTTTCAACACTAATTCAGTCAAGTAAGTCAGTGCTGCGATATGGTTCATGCAGAGACTTGGCGGGTCACGTGAAGCATTTCCAACAAACTGCAGACATTCATCAACAGCTGCCTCCTACGTTTATTTGATACTGAAGATCAGATGAGAAGGCGAGAAAGAATAAACAACAAGGAACTGCGTCCTGGGAACGAACCAACCAAGAACATATCACCCAACAAATATGTAGAAAAAGAAAGTGGAGATGGATTGGGCATACACTAAGAAGACCATTTGGGGACACCAGGCGTCCTCGAGTGGAATTCAAATGGGAAACGACTAGTTGGGTGTCCGAGGATGACATAGAGGAGAGCATAAGAGGAAGAAATGAAAGCTTCTGGACAGTCGTAAGGCCAGGTTCAAAAGACTGCAGAGAAGAGAGTGAAATGGAGGCGTGCCATTTTCCAGTAGGAAACCAAGGGAAAAATAGTAAATAATAATTCTATGTGATCCGGTAAATGATACTGTCCCTTCATTGTGTGATATTTCTAATGAACAGACTAAAATGGAATTATAATCTATCACAGTGGCCAAATTTTACTCCTATATTAATTGAATAGGATGATGTCGAACAGAAGTCATTTTATTCCTCTCGTTACCTGACTACATAGAGGTTGACCTAATCACAGGAGAATCTTCGTTTGAGCTAGAATATGCAGATGACATAGTCTTGTTAGTCCTGTGAAGACACTGACAACATCCAGAGTCTTCTGAACACTTTGGTTGGGAGTTTGCGAATGTTTGGGGTGCGGTTTTTACCACCCAAATGCAAATTTTCGCTTCAGGACTGGTGTTGAGCGGTGCCACGGCTAACAATAGAGAGTGCAGTGGTTGAGTGTATTGACCACTTTACTTACCTGGGAAGTCGGATCACCCTGGTGCGCTGGTCAGTCACCGACGAAATCTCTGCATGAATACACAAGGCTCGGTTGACCATTGAAGGTGGAACACATGAGAAGGCTTCAAGTGTTTGACCACCGTTGCCTTTGTAATATAGACCGTATTCCATGGTGTCACCACGTGAGTAACGCACAAGTCAGACATAGAGTTTTAGGGAGAAGAGGTAAGTCAGTTGACACAGTTGTGAACCTTCATCAACTGAGATGGCTGACTAGGAAATGTGTTATGTATGACAAGTCGTCATCTGCCTCGTCACACAATGTTGGTCGAAGTAGATTAAGGTTGGAAAAAGGCTGGAGGTGGTCAGACTAAAACATGTCATCAATGTATGAAGTCTCTGACTGTTGATTTGAGCCATGTGTGGTGATGCAGACTAGCTGGTTCGGGTCTGCGGGACAAGAGAAACCAGTGGTTGGAGACTCTAGGTGATTTTGAGTGAATTTTCTTTTCTTCATCTTCCACTTCACTGCCTTTTTACTTGATGTAGTGATATGAGATGTGGCGGCATGTTGGACTGTTACTCAGTAATCCTTGGTCATATGTTGATTTGGATGATGAAAAAGTACAAGAGTACTCAAGGCAACGATAATAACCGATAAACTTTTAATTATTTCTACAAAAATAACTTTTAAATTTAATATTAAGCAGATTCTATCATAGTAACCACTTACCTCATTGATATTTTTATATGTTCGAATAAGATTTACTGACATCTTCATGACAGGTCGTTGTTCTGAGTCACGAGGACAGGAATATTGACTAGTGACACTTGATGAAATTGGTTCATTTTGAGTAACTACAACAGTATTCCGAGTATCTTTGATATGACTACAAGATGTAGGATTACAAGTCACCTGATGATCAGTAGTAGAGGCACCAAATGGAAAGATTGGATAACAGTATGTATTTAATCCACTTTGTAAATTACTACTCTGTAGTAGATTACTACTGCTAGATGTCACAGATGTAAGAAGTTTTGATAAGGATGGACTACCTGGTTGTCCACCTAAATCCATAGCAGTAGGTTGGATATCAGGATAGTATGGAAAAGTAAACGAATCAGATCCAAGTGAATGGGATACTTCCATTGCTTGGTGAATATCTTTGTTGGATTGTTGTTGTTGTTGTTGTTGTTGCTGATACTGTTGTTGTGCTTTACTACTCATAGTAGTGGTAATAACTGATGGATCCAAATTGGCATAAGCTGACTGGGTCATTACCTGAGAAGTAGGCTGAGAAATATTTGTACTGGAGACCATAGGATTGAGTGGTAATGAAATTTTCTGTGCTTTACTCTCATGTGTAGTTGTTGACTTTATATTGCTCAAGCATAAATTAGCTTTTTTATGCACACCTTCGGCTGACTTAACAATATCATCACTTGTGTTAGTGGTTGAATGCTGTTCCAACTGGCATAATTGATCTGCTGTTACCAACTGGCCATAAATAGCACCACATGCACCCAGAGTAGGCGATGATGATAACGGTGGTTGAGCTACCGCCTGTGATCTAAGAGAAGGATGCTGTGGAACAGTAGTGACATCACACCAGTTGGATACTAGACCGCTTTTGCCAACATTATGAGTATTCGTAGTGTTTAAAGATAAATCACCACTAACAACACATGTCCCCGACTTCCCCAGTCGCTCGCCACTTACGGCCATGTGAATAGAGTTTATCTGATTATCTGTAAGACAAATTTATAGGAGAAAAAAGACAAACAATTCAATTGAAATATTTGTATACACTGAATGAAACACAGAATAAGCTGCAATATTCTAATAAAATTCTAGAACTATTTGTTACCAAATAGTGGGATAGCCATGAGGAAATATGTAGGTTATAGAAAACTTTCAAATAGTAGCCGAAATTACTAATAGTCAGTCTAGAAGAGTATCTCACAATGAGTAAGTAGGTCTCAGAGAGAAAGCAGCACGACCACAATATAAACAAATATATAGGGAATTATATTTCAACAGGTATAACTGCCAGACACATACACATGGGGAACTTTAAACGCCAGTTCAGTAATAGATAATCATACGGTAATTTCATTTCGTATGTTCAGGGTGACCTTTAAGGGGACAGGCATCAAGAACTACAAATCCATTCAACTGTAACTGTTAGAAAAACTCATAACACTTTAACTACTCCGAATTTTAAGTGTAATAAGCTGAACACCACCCATGATTGCACCTTAGGGTAGTACACAAATCTCTATTTGTTGGGTGAGTGAGTGAGTGAGTAGCAGCAAATTATTGTAAACCTGTGATCTAGTCAACTTTATTGTCATCTTCGATACTAAGAAAGATCTAAGATAGAAACTATCCCCTCTTTCAGCATTCCTTCAAACTCTGGAGCTACTGATAACCAGTAGAGTTAACATAATAACTTTCCTGGACTCCTGAAATCGCATTAAAAGTGATATATTCGAGTTTTTTTTTATGTCGGCAGCCTCCATCGAATCGAATAACAAGCTTCGCTAGACAAGACTGTGGTATCTTGCAACATACACGTCTGTTTGTGAAACATGCACACAACGCAAAGTAGTACTCCTCTGCGGTAGTGAAACTTGACCTCAGAACACAAACATAGTACAGAAAAAGTAGCAAGAAATGCGCCACACAAAATAATATAACAGCTAAGTGAAGACGTAAAGCGAAGGTAAGTGTATAAACAAAAAATAAAAATACAATAAGAAGAAAATTAGAAAGGCAGTTCAATAAGATACTTTCGAAACAAAACATTCATTACTTTTTAGCAGCAGAAGATAAGAGGAAGCTACAGTATGACCACCATTGGTTTACATTCCAGGCTATATCTGATAACGTTCCAACCCACTGGGTTATGTGATCTCTTGTACCCCAACCAGAGAGTTGTGATGAACCAATAGGTGCTAACCCCATACAACTATCCTTCGTTCCACGGCACCACGTCACGCATTGACCACCCTTCAGCTTTTTCAATCTAGCCCTAGGTCTAGTAAACAATGAAGGGCGTCGAAGCCATTTTCACGACATGCTTAACACGTGTCCAAGTCATCGAAGCTGGTCTTTCCAGATGACTTCACTTATTGAGTGACGATCTCCATCATACCCAAACACACGCTCTCGTACCTCAGAATTGCTTAGATGGTGTTGCCAACACAAGGTACGAGCAATCCTACGGAGATAACGATGATCGAACATACAAAGTAGTCGAATATCTTCAGCTCGGAGAGCCCAGGTTTCACAAGCGTAGAGTGGAACTGCTCGCACCCAAGCGATGCAAACTAGACCTTTTACAGTCAGACTAACGTCGCGACGGCGCGAAAGGTGGCCCCGATAGATGTATGCCACTTTTGCTTTCGATATGCGGTCGGAAATTTCATCAGCACCACCACCAGCACTCACACAACTACCTAAATACGCGGACAACTTTTCACTTACTTCCAACGCCTCACAACACTTAACCTCATCCGGTCAATATGGTGGATCTGTAGAAGCCACTGTTCGAGTTTCTGGAGATTCGATGGCTACATCTCGCGATTTTGCAAGCGTAGGAACAGCATGAATTGCACTAATAGCATTGACATCGAGACTCTTGAGATCTATGCACTAACACTAAGATATCTCATAGGAATAATTTTTCAAAGAAAATATGCCAATATGTTATACCGGTATTACAAAGAATTGTGGAGAAAAGTTTTGCAACAGGATACACTACTTAACTACAAGTAGTTTTGCATACTATTTCCCTATAGCATTAGGTCGTTACCAGTACTTCCGTACAATAATTTATAATGAATTACGAACACCTGTTTAAAAGTTTCATTTTAGAAGTGTACATAAACTGATGTGTAGAATGACATCAGCATGTATAATATAACACATCAATTAAATCAAAAGCGATTGACAACCTTTAGAATATCATTAGCATTTATGACTGAGTAGTTATATAGAAAGAATACTGATCTAGTTGTGTAAGAAGAGGTATATAATAAGTAGAGACTGTATACTGAGAATTACAGACCATAGAATATTATTAACCTGTATAGCCTGTAGCGATCTGTAATGAGATATATAATTTCTATCATCTTTTCAAGCAGTATTGGCGATTTCCTGCGATTCGATATACCTTTTGACTACATGACTATGGGACGAACAGAATTCTATCAGAGACCGCTACATCCTAGTTAAAATACAACTGGAACAATTTAACTTAGCAATCATGCACAAGTTCCCTTAATAGGCGATAAGTCATACTTGCGCGAGGATTGACCATTCCATCTGACTGCCAAATTCTCAGTAGTTGAGGCGGGAATTTACACTCATAGCCTACTTGGTTGAAAGCCAACTGCCTGAATCAATGACCTGTAGCTCAATGTTAAAAGTAATCCTTATCCAGAAAATGTATGTAGACTTCATTCAACCAGAGGGCTGAAGAAGATAACAAAACACAGAACCAAATATAATTGTTGTTAATCACCATTAGTTGTTACATTTCACATCAGTGTCAATCAATCAATATCAACATAGGACCAGGCATTACTACGTTACGGTCCGATTTGCCACCACACCTCATATCACTACATCAAGTAAAAAGGTAGTGAGGTGAAGGATGAAGATAAGAAAATTCGCTCAAAAGAAATATAAAGTACTAAAGAGATAAACGAAGAATGAGAAAATGGTAATATTCGGTATAGCGTCGATAGGCTGAGGACAATGTATGCATACATCTGAGCCACTGACATCCATTCTCAGCCATGTGATCACCTACAGTCAGTCTCCAACCACTGGTTCCTCTCTTCCCCCACACTCCATTCACCTAGTCTGCATCACCACACATGCCTCAAATCAACAGTCAAACACTTCATGCATTGGTGACATGTTTCAGTCTGGCCACCTCCAGCCTTTTTCTAGCCTCCACCTACTTCGACCAACACTCCGTCACCAGGCAATAGGTGACTGAGCATACGTAGCACGTGTCCCAAACATCTCAATCGATCAAGGCTCATAACCTCATCAACAGATTTAACTCTACTCCCTAAAACTCTACAACTAACTTCTGCATTACTCACATGGTGACACAACGGAATACGGCATATACTACAAAGGCAACGGTGGTCAAACACTTGAAGCCTTCTCATGTCTTCCACACTCAATACCCATGTTTCACAGTCATACAGTAGAACAGACCGGACTCCCGTGCAGTACACGCGACCCTCAGTAGACAATCGGATATCACAGTGGCGCCATAGGTCGCGTAAATTGACAAAAGCCAATCGAGCCCTTTGTATCCCTGCAGAGATTTCATCGGCCACTGACCAACGCACCAGGGTGATCCCACTTCCCAGGTAAGTGAAGTGGTCAACACACTCAATCACTTCACTCTCCATTCTTAGCCGTGGCATCGCTCAACACCAGTCCTGGAGCAAAAATTACCATTCGGGTGGTGAGAAACGCATCCCAAACATTCTCAAGTTCTCAACCAGAGTGTTCACAAGACTCTGCATCTTCTCAGCGTATTCAAACAACTAACAGGACTATGTCATCTACATACTCTAAGTCTAACAAAAATTCTCCTGTTATTAGGTCAACGTCTATGTAACCTGGTGACGAGAGGGAGACCTCCATAAGAATATCTATGATAGAATTGAATAAGAATGGAGACAGTGGGCATCCTTGACGGATACCACTCGATGAGCATAGCTCCCAGGACAACTCACCGTAGACTTTAACATGCCTACAAGTGTTCGACTAGAGAGCTTTCACTCGGTATGCCTTTCAGTGACAGACATTGCCATAAGACTTCTCGATCAACGGAGTCAAATGCCGCTTTCAAGTCGAGAAATACAGCTACTGTCGGGAGTCTGTAAGCACGCCTTTGTTCCAGAACCTGGCACCGTGTGAATATTTGGTTGATACACCCACGGTCGGGTGTAAATCCTACCTGGTTTCCTCCCGCTTGCTGTTACCGAGCTCCAATCAGGCGTCGAAGAATTATACAACCTACAATCTTAGATACTATGTTCGTCAGGCTGATTCCTCTGTGGTTATCACAAGAGGACTTCTCACCTTTCTTGAAGACTGGGATAATCAGTGACTTACACCAGTCAGAGGGGATCGTATTTGATTCCCATATAATAGCTAACACTTCCGTTAACCTGACTAAGAGCACTCTACCACCATCCTTGTATACCTCAGAAGGTAGTCCGTCTGGTCCTGCCACCCTTCACCGTTTCACGTTGCCTACCGCTTTCTCAAATTCTTCCAGTGTTCGGGGACCTACCTCTATGTCCCATTCAGGATCCGACTGGATAGCGGGCAACGCAATCGTGGCTGCAGGTCAGTTAAACTGTTCCTCAAAGTGTTCTGCCCATCGTCCTAGTCGCCTTCCCTGCGAGTGGATCGCAGATCCGTCCTTCTCCCCTATAGCCTCACTAACTGTTGTTGACCTTTTCCCCCCAGTCTCCTTAATAAGTCTAAATAACTGTCTACTACTACTGATCGCCACCGCCGCCGCCGCCATCTCTTTAGCCTTCGCTGCCCACCACTGTTCGCCATCGTTGCGTAGACTTTTTCTCAATCTACTTTTAAGTTGCGCTCGCTCTTCACTGCACTCATAGCCTGCAGGGATGCATTCACGTGCATACATCAGTTAGGAAAAAGCCGATGATATCCACTGGCTCTTTTTAGCCACTATTTC